AACGGCCTCCCTCACAGGATGAAGCTAACTCAGACGATTGTGAGCGCAAAACGTGCCACTGTTATGCAATGCACTTGACGTGGAAGGAATACTTCTCTGACTTCTTTAACCCAAACCGAACATCGTCTTTAAACATGATTTAAAAAAAAACAAAAAACAGAGGGCTAACTAAGAACGTGGCAATTATACATGACATCTTGGATGAAATCGGAACCCGGTGCATAAAACAGATTCTGCCTTGATGTCTCACCGGTTGCAGCCTTTTGAAAAGGCCAAAACTAACAAAGTTATATCGTGAGTACATTGAGACAGTCATTTAGGCTCTAATGAGTCCAGATGGAAATTGTATATCTCAAACACTGGTATGGATGGTGTAAGCCAGATAAAACACAACATGCTGGAAAGATTGTGCTGTGCTGTTGTTGGGATGGTTCCATGTCGCAGGCAGGCCTGGGGAGATTCTGGGAAAAGGGGAGTCGGGATGCATTCAGCAAAATACAGACGGATGAAGTTGAGCAAGTTATGCGCGGTGGAGGTTAAGGAGATGAAAAACACGAATCCTGAAACTGTGCAGCTGGCTTGGAGACTTGAGTTCCAGTCAGAATTTATGGAAAACTTTGACCAGTTCAGAGTCGTGCGGCAGCTTTGGGATTATGCAGAACTGCTGTTTTTATTTTGCTACGGTGCCGTGGGATTAGTTCGAGTGCATGTAAGCAATCGTACAAATTAATGTTGGCAAGCTTGTGGTTGGAGGATTGCCCCCCCGCCCCCCCCAAAAAAAAACACCCATTGAGTAGAGACATTGCAGTTCGGGGCGTACTTTGGATGCCATGGAAGTGAAACTGCAAACTTTTCAACAATGGCAACCCTGGAACAGAGAGTAGATATCGTCACAGCAGCGTAAAGCATAAAGTGAAATGTAACGGACATTTCTGTGGACACTGAATCTCCCCTCTACAAAATGTCATGGAAATCGCTGATGTATTTTTTTTTTTTGCAACCAATGACCATCAAAACACAATGCCGTGTCTCTTGAGTGAGCAGTGATGTGTCGGCGATCGCCCCGAGATTGACATGAATACTGTGATGTCACCAAGCGACCAACTGCTCAAGAAGTTTCGTTGAATAATTCGCCGGATAAAATGATTTCAATTTCAATCCACCGGGTGACGCGGCGAAGCCGAAGCGGAGGACGGAGCCGGTCGGGCGCTTGATCCGATCAACAGCTGCTTCCGTTCCTCTGGGATGGACTCAGCGCTGGAGTAGCCCAAGCCTGAGCGCGCTCATACGGTTCGCGTCTGAACATCGCCGGGGTGTACGCAACATATGCTTAATTGGCAGCTTGAGACTCTGCCGGGCTTGTCTGCGTTCCAAGTCATTAACATGTAATGTGCGCTCAGGACACGGGGCCCCAGAAGAAATAGTCTTTCCTGCATCGCATCGAAACAGCTTTGGGCCACCGTTTTCCCAGCTGTGAGACAAAGGGCTTCTGCTTTGTGTCTCTTTTTGGTTTTGCCCGATGAACTGTCACCGCCTTTTCGCCGAAACAGCTTTGGGCCACCGTTTTCCCAGCTGTGAGACAAAGGGCTTCTGCTCTGTGTCAAAGGGGGACCCCTTTCTGGTTTTGCCCGATGAACTGTCACCGCCTTTTCGGCGCGGGCATCTCGGAGGATCTTGTTCCCGTTTCCACTGCCCCTGTTTTTTGTCTCTCTCAAACCCAACTCAAATTCGAGCAGAGCGAGAGAGCGAGAGATTGGAGATGGAAAGCAGGCCAACGTGAGCTGTTCACAGCTTGTTTAACATCCAGTAGCTGTTTATGTCAATGGCAGCCTGACCCGGAAGCATACAATGAGACGTTCATCTTCTCTGTTTTCTTCTCGATGCTCTAATGACGTCAAAATGTTTATTGTGTTCCATGAACGCTGGGAACCTTTTCTATTCAGGTTTATTTTTCGTGCAACTTATAGTCCGGAAAGTCCGTTACTTCTCATACGGCATCCTCCCGGATATCTCTGGATGGTGCAGGTGCACCAGATGTGACTTTTAAAATGTTCTCATGGGCACATCAGAAGCCATTTGCGGGCTGTTCCTGGTCACCGGCTTCACCTTCTTGCCTTCGCTATTCATCAACATCTTCATTCATTACAGGTCTTACCCAGGCGCCGAGTATCTTGCTCAAGGTCACAGCTGCTCTATCCCGCCAGGAATTGCGACTCCTCTGACCCGCTGGCTCAACATATGGTGGCGTGACCAAGCTCTCGGAGGTCCAGCGACAGGAAGTTAAACTTTCATCTGGACACTTTCTCCGGGAATTTGCTGCAAGTTTCCTTGGCACGAGGCACTTTAATTAGGCGGGAAGAAGCAGACCTTTTTTTTTGTTTCACCGTGAAATACTTATAAAAGACTCTTTTTCAATCATGATATTGAAGCTACTGGATTTAGATTCACATCCCCTCTTCCCTAGCGCTCGTTTAATACTGAAAGACATTACAGTTTATTTCGGTTTCCAGCAATGTTTCCAAACGCCAATGGGGTCCATTTTTCTCTTTGATTAATTCAATTCATTCTCTTGTAAAGAAAAAAAAAATCTGCTTTTATTGCAGTTAAACATGTCACATGCCTGCGTGTTTTACTTTTTTGCTTCTCTGGAGTGATCCGGGGACGCAGGCCACAAGCGTGATTTAGACGTCGATAAACATCGCGATGTGTTTGTCTCACAATGCCAAAGTTGTCTTTCAATCAAGTTAATGAATGCACTTATAGAGAGAGCGACGCAGGACTGTACGATTTAAAGTACTTTACAAAAGCAGCTGCATTACATTTGGGAAGTCAGGCGCTAAGTCACTTGAACGATTTTTTGTTTTGTTTTTTGGTGTACTGCATTGAGGCAGTTGATTGCATAATGCTCCCATTAGCATCAAACTTATTCCGAAACAAACAAAAAAAAACGACTCAAAAACAACTTTGTACAAAGGGACTTTGGGGAATGTCAAAAAGTTGGACAAAGTTTTATTTTTGTTCCTTCTTTTGCCTTCATATATTTTTTTGTAATTCATTCTCACCGAAAGATTTCAACGTTGAAGCCTTGCTGTCCATTTCAATCCGGCCATGTTAAAACTACTCTTCTATGTAAGACAACAATGACAAGAAAGTTAATTTCCTGAGCTTTTCAATTGTTGCGTGTAAATTATTAAGCACAATGTTGTCAAAGCAATCCCATTTCACGCTGATCCTCAAACATGAACCGCTGTGCCAGTAGTTAGTCATGTCACTCAATGATTCAGCAGCAGTACACTTTGCTGGAGGAGGATTCAAAGCACAAACACAAAAACCCTGCGGTCTACAATTTTGGTTGTGAAATAAATGTGTCAAAACCCGACTGGGAACCAAACACGGATCATGGTTTGGGGGATTATACTTCGGATTGGCGGCAAATATTTCCGTCTCCAAAACACTGTTGTCATGTAAACCAGCTTGCAAAACAACTTTCGATACTCATTTATTCTGTATTTCAAATGATGACAGAAAACCAATGTTTAACCAGCAGGGAACCATATTCAGTGATGTTCCATGCTCTGTCCGCCAATAAAGCTTCATAAAACCGTGATATCAATGGAAACGGATTAATCATGACATACTACTATGTGCCAAAGGATGGGTGAACGAGTCCCACCTCAAGACCTGGGTCCAAAGGGGGGCGGCACTCGTGTCCGGGCGAGGGTAAACCAAGTCAATTTTTGTCCATCATCCCGGGCGGTCTGTGAACCGTATTTTGTCTGGTCCTGCACCGAGGACCCGCTGCAAGGCACTGCTCTTCCAGATTGAGAGGAGCGGGAGGAGGTGGCCCAAGCATCTGGTTCGGATGCCTCCTGAATGCCTCCCTGGTGAGGTATTCCGACCATGTCCCACTGGCAGGAGGCCCCGGGGAAGATCCAGGGCACGCTGGTAAGCGGAGGAAAATGGATGCGGAACCGACCGTCATGACGAGATGCATATTTTACTATGGGACAAAAACTCTAAAAGAATGTCCCACTTCACAGAATTTCCCTCCGTGCCAAACAGAACCTCAACTATTCATTTTTATATAAAGTGAGAGCAAGGTGATCCTGAATGGATTGACTTAACGTTCGTGGCATTTGCTGTCGGCGGCAAATGGACAGAGAAATGCAGTGGCCTTGTCCTGACATCCATTAGCCCGGCGGTGAAAATAGCGGCCGAGGCCTCACCTGTGTTCACTCTGTAATTAAAGGCTTCTCGGCCCACTCGAAGATGTGATGAACAACAGAGCTAATCTTTTAAAGCGGCCTCTTCACAGGTTTGTCTGCCAGATTTGCACGTTTGAGAACGTTGAATACCATGGCTCTAAATTGCATCGTTGGATCGGTTTCCCGTCCATATTGAAGGTAGACATAAAAAGATATCCGCTTTGAGCCAACACCTGTTCATTGAACATTTCAAAAGCCGCAAATTCACATTCCCCTACTTTTGCAGCCATATGGAAGATGGCGAACGGAGCCACGCTCTCTCTTTAAGCCCAAGACACAAAGTGGGCCAGCATTGTTGTGGTGCCAGCTGATGTGCGGCTCATGATCGGTTCACTCTCATTTGCGTAGCAGCAGAATACGCCGGGAAAGATTTAAACATCACTCAACTCAAAGAGAACGCGTCCCTTTGAAATTTGCAGAAATGAGGATACAGCGGAACCTCTTTTCAACGTAGCCCGTTTACGTTTCCGCCCTTACGACGTTCACATCGCAAAATCCCGCTTACAAATCATTTATTTTCCATTTGCCGATTTTGCTCAAGCGAACGCCTTTGTCACGTTAACTTCATTATAACGACTGGATTTTACACTTCACTGTGAGCAGTGATTTTGAATTTTTAAATGGGACCTAAAAAAGGTAAATGACGCTTATATGATGGTGACAGTTTGACCCTGGCGCTCTTCTATTTGTCTTGCTTGCAGTGGGGGGAAATAAGGTTTTTGAACTACAAACCCGTCATGGAATGGAATCAAATTTATTGGCACATGTCGCGAGTACAGAGCAAGGAAATTCATTTTACAGTTTCAACCCATCTCAGAAACATGAAAAAGACAGTGACACCGAAAATGGCGGGGGGAGACAGAAATGAGAATCTGATGGCTCGCTGCACGGTGCTCCCGTTTCTGAGATACGAATCGGAAAACATACGATAGGATCATATATTGACCTTTGGTGCCGAATGGATTGTGATTGGTTCACTGTACCGTATAATTGTTAGGGGGGGAAACACTTGGTAAATTATTTTCTTTTTTCACAAATCCTTTAGAACCTGTTTATAAATTCTGTTTGCTGAACCAAAATGCAGCATCATGATAAAATCAGAGGGCTTTAGTGGATTGTTTGGATCCATATGCTTTTTTTTTGGGGGGGGGGGGGTAGTTCATGATGAATAGAGGAGGCTCATTGTCGGATTTAGTTGTGCCGTAAGAGTGGTGGCCTGGATTTTCTCCAGCTTTGTGCTAAAATGTGGTGGCTACACTCATGTGTCTGGAGCATCCCTTCCCAAAGACAAAAAAACGTGAAATAATGTGCTCCGGCACAATTCTCTGACCCAAATTTGGGCGCTCTGACCCATAATAGGTCGACCAGCACAAAAATACAAAATATATGAACTACGGTGTCGCTATTGTTAGCAATGGTTCTGGGGAAATAAAACGGGAGTGAGCGCTCAAATCGCATGGCTCTTTTATTTTCCCAAAAAAACACAATAATAATAATAATAATAATAACCTTCACTTCAGTATGTACAGTTTGTGCAAAAACATTTAAAGGTTCCAAAGACTTTACATTGTAAGTTCAACCTCAAGGCACATACATGGAACAACATCAACATTTCATGATGAAGAACAGAAATTCTCAACTTTGGTTCCAAAGAAACATCTCTGTGCGGGTCTTCAAATGTGATCGCTATGTCGCCGTTTTACATGCACTGTCAATTTTGCAGCTAAAATCAGGTTTTGTCGATGCGCCGTGTGGATGATTGTTGTAAAATGTACTTGTGTGATTCTCGGAACAAAATTCAAGGTCAGGAAAGTAGTACATGCCGATATACATCTGAGGTGAAAGATTTGCCAACAGGAAGTGTGGTTTAAAAAAAAAAGAACAAAAAAAACGCCAATTGAAAACAGCACAAACCAACACTGGAAGTCAGTCTGCATTCCGCTTCGTTTCATTCCATTGGTCTCAGCATTATGTTAAATGCTTGAACCGTCTATTAAATGAGGAGTCACGCGTGCTTGCAAAACCACCACGAAAATGCTTTCCCAGCCTGGTTGATTCATTAGCCGCACCGTGTTAGGAACGCTGAAGGTCTGGCAGCCCGGATGACCGAGTCTCATTAGCTCGCGTGCGTATATGCGGCGTGCTTAGTTAGCGGCGTGGCTCCTACTGGCGCCGTTATTGTCGCCACCGAGGCTGAGTAAATGTGCTTTCAAGCGGGCATTCTTGTCGCCGTCCTGCGTTCTGTCCTCATCGTTCAGTCCTGCAGCACAAGGTAAGGCAAATATACCGTCGGACTCTGCGGGAGAAACCGGATGACATTGTCAACCCGGGTTTCCAAACGGAAGAAAAAAGCCAAGGTGGAAACGCTCTGTGGCTGGCGCGCGGGATGTTATGGTGAGCGGGTGCAAGCATGTGGAGCAAAACGACACAATAAACTGTCGGTTCAGTGCTTTGTCGGCTAAGCTTTACGATTGTTAAAGCAGGGCAGGTCAGGAACACTTCGTACATCATCCGGGTGCGCTGATATGTTGACATTGGTAGAAAAAAGTTCAACATCAAGTGGAGATGCTCTGATAAGCACAGAAGAATGATGAAACTCAGTCATGACAAAGGAAAAATCAATTTTGTGCAAATATTTTATGCAATTCCAATGCTATGTGATGTCTTAAACATTTAATAGCGTCTTGCAGTTTGCTTCTCAATTGCTGGACTGCAACCCCGTTGAGAGAGAGAATACGCGGACCATGAGCCCTTTTTCCTTCCATGAGTGGGCGAAGGTGTGCGCCTCACCCTTGCTCAGCGTGAGTCGGGGGCAGCCGAGCCAAAGTAATGTGGACATATTTTTCTCCCTTTTTTTTGGAGGCGGATTATCAAGAGAGAGGCTGGGAGAGCGGAGTGGCCGAGGGTGGGAACTCTTTAAGCTTGGCCCCTCAAAATAAAACGATGTCAAATCAAATTGAGTCTTCTTAAGAAGTGCATAATGAAGACCTCTCGCTGGCACATCGCATGCAAAGCGCCGCCGCCTCAGTGCGTGAGCCCAAGGGCAAGGGAAACTGCTTTAATTGAGCCCATGCTGGGACCAGAGCGACTGGGACAGGGACAGGGAGGCGGACGGGAAGATGGTGGCTCGCACCCATTTAATCCTCACGCCATGAAATGCGCAGGTGGAAAACAAACACAACATGAAATGAACATCATCAAAAGGGCGAGTGATGAAGCAGAATCGGCACTTTGCAGTGCAGATGAGCCCAGATTATCGCGGAGTTCAATTAGTTTCTTACTTCTTAATTTATTCAGCCCCCCCCCGCCCCCTCAAAAAACAGTTAAAAGTTGCACACTTCAACAAAATGGGCTGAGTTATTATGTGGCGTCTTCGGAATGCTCATCGCAAAGAAAAGCCCACTCTGACATGTCACAATGGTGAAAATCCATATCCTTTCGAAACAAAGCACGCCAGACACAATTAGTTTGAAATGATTCCACATCATTTAAGAAACCCAATGAGCAATAAACACTATAACAATGCTGTTTGAGCAGAGTAATGTCATCTGGGTTCTGGAGTCGGAGGGGTTGGTGGCGCTCAAGTGATCTTTGTGGCTTTGTTTCCCCTTCCCTGTCTGCATCATGCTCTCTGTTCCACACGATGCTGAGAAAACACGCCCCCTTGTGGCCTCACTTGCTAAATCAGGGGGGGGGGGTGAACAGTGTGTGGGTGTGGCGGGGGTGGGGGCACAATCTGTTGAGGCTCAGCACATTCATGCACTCCGTCGAGGGCAATCATTCTTTCTTGCTTTTTATGTTCATGTTAATCAAGTCGCTCCCACTTAATTGCGTGCAGAAGATGACAAATCCGATTTCAGAGGTTTTCCAAAAAGTGTCTTTCAAACCAAGGCTCATCTTGGCTCGGCTATAAACAAATAGAGCACAGACGATTTTCGAGTTAAAGGCACTTTTGGGATTTCTCTGCATGGGAATCATCCAATTACACTTTCTTCCACACCACCTCACGAGCAAGTGCCACCATCGTTTCCATGTATAGGAAAAGTGCACTTCAGTTTCTTCGACATGCTACCAGTTGTGATCTTTTCTCCAACGCACAAATCGGTGCCCTTTCTGTGTGCACGACAATTTGGATATATACTTGGGAGGCTTTTGCATCTCAAAAGCGCAAAAAGGCATTTTTTTTTTCTTTTCCTGTGGTTAGCAAAGGATCCCAGCCCTCGTCGTGCTCGACATTTTCCAAGGCTGACAGCATCTGCCAGAAGCTACACCCAGCGTGCCGTGATTGTACAAACCTGTGTTCATGTACAGTATTGACCATCAAAACAACTTTCAAAACCCTGCTGTTTATAAAAAAAAAACAAAAACAAAAAAAAGCCCACTTGGATCTCCTTTTTCTATTAATAAAAAAGATAGCAGAGAATTCCACATTATTATCCACAGTATAAATTACATCATCGACAGGTATTGTACAGTTATATGTTACTAGAATTTTTTTTTTTTGTTTTTTGGGCGAGGGGGGGCGGGATATTTTTCTGCTATTGTCCACACAAACGGTGTCTGTGGGCATTGTGTGTATTGTCAATCACTTGTGGAGTTTGTGGGTGCACCAGTGCGATATCCGCCCCGGCATCACGTGTGGCAAAACTCTGTACTGGGTACGTTGCTGCTCTTGCAGTAGGCTAAGCTATTGTTACTGAGGTGACAGTCTCTAAATCCAATCCCCCCGTTGGGCGTGTAGATGGGCTGAATGCGGAAATCTCCCTTGAGCAGCTGCTCGTTGTTCAGCGCCACTATCTGGAAACTGGTTTCAGTCATTTCAAGAATGGAATTATCCTTCTTGGTCCCGGCCTCGCAGTAGTCGTCTTTTCTGCGGCCTCGGTTGTATTTCCACTTGGTAGAAGACGACCGGCTCTTCCGGTGCATGTGCCAACAAAACAGGCTGAGTAGCGTCACCAAGATGATCAGCACCGCTCCGCCGATGATGCCGGCCATTAACAACGTGGAATTAACACTCTCCTTGGGAGTTTGCCCCGAACCGGGAGACTTGGTTGGCGAGGCAGACTTGGTCCTGGCCTCGGAGCAAATTGTATCCTCTCCGGGCCTGTAGGAGTTATGAGAGTCCAAAACGTGCACGCAGATCCGGTACACAGACCGGGGTTCCAGGTGGGTGAGGCTGATATGCCGCTGCCCCCCGCCCACCGTCCGTTCCCGCATCCCTTCGTTCATCTGGCTTTGGCCCCGTTTAACCCAAGTGACTTTGTAAGCTGTGACGGTGAAATAGGAAGCCCAGCTCACCTCGATACTCGAAGAGTTAACCACATGGAAGGAAATCTGAAGGGGGTCCTCATAAGGAGGCAGGGGGCCGGGAGGATTGTGATAGATCGGGGGCACGGGCGGAGAAGGCGAGTCCAGATAGTCAGGGATGGGTGTGGTCGCAAGAGTGGAGATCACGGTGGTCAGGGGGGTGGTGGTGGGAGGAGGGGGAGGTGTCGAGCGAAGTGTCGGCCACGGAGGCTGGTCGGCGTCGACCGGACATTCGATGATATCCAAGGTGAGCTCGCGGATGGCCATCCCGCGCACCCTGTCGGGACTCTGACACACGAAGCCTCGGGCGTTGATGGAGGAAGGCAACGACTTGAGCCACACCACCACCCACTTCACCGCACAGTCACAGCGCCAGGGGTTATTTCGCACAATGAGATGCCTTAAGCTTGACAGGCTGTCAAATACACCCTGCGTGAGAGTCTGAAGCTGGTTGCTGGAAATATCCAACTTCTCCAGCCTATTTAAGTCCGCAAAAGCAGCGACCGGGATCTGGTCGATCTGGTTTTCCTGCAGGCTGAGTTTGGCCAGCGACTGGCTCGGTAAAAGCGGAGGGGGGAAGGTGAGCGAGTTGCGGGCCAGCGCCAGTTCTCGGAGGCTGGCCAGTTCCTGGAAGGTCCCCGGCGCGATGCCCTCATCCGTCAGCAGGTTCCCGTCCAGCAGGAGGCGCTGCAGACGCGTCACGTTCTGGAAGGCCTCCTCGGCAATGTTAGCGATTCGATTCTCATCCAATCGCAGCTCTTTCAAGTCCTCGGGGAGGCCGATGGGAACGCTGCTCAAGTGGTTCTTGGTGAGGAAGAGGAGTTTGAGGCTGACGGCCTCCCGAAAGGCCCCTTCTTCCACCCCCACGGTGGAGATGGAGTTGTCATCCAGGTGCAACTCCTCCAGTCGAGTCAACTGCGCCAGGGCCGCCCTGGAGATCGTTTGAATATTGTTCTCCTGTAGATGCAGTACGCGGGTGTTTTTGGGCAAATTGATGGGAAACTCATCCAGCTGGTTGCCATAGAGATACACCGTCTCCACAGAGGCCAGATTGTGAAGTTCCACGGGAAAGCCGGCGTTGTTGATCTGGTTGTTATGCAGGTAAAGGACGTTGTAGCCTTCCTGTATCCCCAGCGGTACGGATGTCAGGCTGCGTTCGTTGCAATACACAAATAATTTGTCACAACGACACTCTTCCGGGCAAGAGGCACCTGGGCTGAATTGCATCTGAAGGCTTAGGATGACAGTCAACCAACATTGGAAGAATGAAGTCCAATCCTTATTCCAGGGTCCAGTCGGAAACTCCATCGTTGAAAATTAAAAAGAAGGAAGTGAAGAAAATAACCACAAAAATAAAAAGAAACCGAAGGGAGTAAAACAAAGAAAAAACTACATGTAAATTGTGGAATAATCCAGCAAGTACGACATTTTAAAAAAAGTCCACCACGGGGAATCTGGTCATCACGTCGGTCGCTGCTGGGAAACGATCAAGAACATGTGGGAGTAGTCCCGTCAATGCTGGTCCTCGATTGAAGAGCAACGGTCTCATTGGTGGCGGCCGGTCCTTGGACTGACTCCATCCATGCTGAGACGTCAGACCATAGCGGGGCTCGTCAGCGGTCGCGCCGTGCCGAGCTCATCCTGGGCCGGTTTGAAGCCGCGCGGCTGCGAGCCTCTGCGGGCTCCTTTCGCCTGTCCGTCACACACTGCTGCTGTTCCCCGACCGGGGCAGAGTCCAAACAGGGTAACATTTGGAATCAGAGACCTGTGGGAAAACAAAGAAAGGCTAGTATTTTCAGGGTGGCCTGCTCACTCCCCCCCCCACCAACACGCTCGCTGCACAACACCACCTCGTCCCCTTCTTCCTCTCAGTGACAAACATGCACACAGGAATACAAACTCTTTCTTTTTCAAAACCGACTCTGTTCTGACACGGAACGACGCCAGCCGCACACGCGTCGTTGCCCGCCATGTCGGCGTACGCGCTGACTGATTGGAAAAGAAAGTTCAAGCGTCTGATAAATATTCAGAACAGCGCTTGCATATCCGGTATCACAGACATAAAGGAGGGTTTTGTCCCTTCGCACTCTGTCAAGAGAGGCAACAGAGATCAACAACCGCGCACACGCACACACAAACACACACTCGGATTTGCAGTTTGGCAGAAAGATCAGTCCTGCTTGGTTTTATAACGCGACGTTGAGGAAGAGTTACCGTCTCGATCCTATGTGGGGATGGAAAAATAGATCCAGGACTGCCTTTTCGTCCAGAACAGATTCTGAGTAAACGCACTCATGCAGAACGGAAACGGCGTGGATGTTTTTGCCAGTGGCCTAAGCGGCTCTTACGATCCATTATTATTATGCTTAGCCCATACCGCACCTTCACGGTCGTCAAAATTTAAGGGTGTGAATAATGGAATTGCAAATGGAGAGCAAACAAAGACCAATGAGAAACACACACACACACACACACACACACACACTCCTATGTATGAGTTCCACCTCTCACACCGTCGACATACACAACTTGTCAAATGGAATAGGTTACCCAATAATTTCGTATTTCCCCTTGCAATAAATGATCAATCCAGGCTATTTTTCCCAACGGAGGTTCCGAGTCAAACACAAGGCCACTGCATGGTTGAGGACTACGGATCCATTATTTCAAGTTTTATGACCCATCAAACATTCTCTCTCTCTCTCCCTGTATACGATTGAAAGATTCTGGTTGTCGTCAGTTGCTTTCAGCTTTCCTGAAGCTCCACCCTGACTCATTGATGGATAACACGGACAAAATGATGTTGAAATTCCCTGAGAGAGAGGCTACTGCTTGGCTGTTTTGTGGAAAGTAAAAAAAAAAAAAAAAAAAAAAAAAACCCATTCGACAAACATCTGTGATCTACTTTTCTAAATGGAAAGAGCTACTACATTTAATCAAATGAGCAGTGGGGAGAGAAAGCAACCACGGGAGGCGATAAAACGTGCTACCACAGCAGCACAAGGCAATTGCATCCATATTATTGCTGGAATCATAAAAAAAAAAAAAAAAAATCTCAAACATACCCCACTAATCTTAAAAGGAAGCACAGACGAATGGATATAGATAGATAGATAGATAGATAGATAGATAGATAGATAGATAGATAGATAGATAGACAGATAGATAGATAGATAGAATATTACCTCCCATCAATGTTCTATCCCTGTGTTATTAAATTTCCAGTCTAGCGAGCACCTCCAGATGAAGGCTCTGATACGTGGTCGGGACAATCGGATTAGAAGTGGATTTGCTGGGAGAAACGCAATTAAAAGTTGAAACCGGTGAAGGTATTTAAGGGGCGATAAGAGGCAGATCAGGCATACTTCAAAGGTTGCCCAGTGAGCGGTGTTCATTCGGATGGAATATTTCGAAGAGCGCTTGAAAGGCGTGAGGTGCATGGAGGGTCTCATTTCCATGGGCCTGAAACATCTCGGCCGAGGCCGTTTCGGACGAGTAATCTTCAATTCGGTCAAATTGGGGTGAGGGTGGAGGTTGCATTTCAAAACAGCATTTCAAGAAAGTGACCAGGGCTACCTCGATTTTGCTCAGGCAGAGATCCTAATCTCGAGCAACTCCATTTCTAAAGTGAAATGATGAAATCGTCAACGATTTTCCTCGCGGTGGGTGATGACGGCCACGGTACCTTTGGCGAGTCTTTATCCGTCCCCCGAGCCGCTACCGCGTTGAACTTTTCTGCCTTCTCGCATGCGGCGCTGCTGGATGCTCATGCGCATAGGTCCGTCTGGGAGGTTCCGATCGAGCGTCCTCGCAGCATATTTGACGCCACCGCCTCAAAACGCTTACTTTTGTTTTTGGCCGCTTTAACTCAACGGGGCCGGCGCCACAGAGCGAGGGCGGCAGAACGCAGGGCGACGATCGCAGCTCCCGCTGCTCCCCGTCCACTCAAGCAGAACCGCGAGGACCCGCCGGTGGAAGTCTCCGCCGCCTGCTTCGTCGCGGGCCATGACGGCTGGCTGCGTCCGCCCCGTGCGCACTCGGAGTGGGGATCAACTTGCACTTCAGTGTCTCTCGCGCAAGACTTCCCCGGAGTTGTTTTCTCAGATGGAATCCAGTTGATAGTGCGACGTGCGCGCTGCTCCTTGCGCCTCTCCCTCTCTCTGCCTCTCTCTCTCGCTCCCTCCACCCTCTCTCTCTCTCTCCCCCCGACCGTCCCTCCCCTACTCAGAATAAAGAATGCAAATCCCCCAACAGCTCCGTAATAGCTGTGATCCACCTCCCTGGTGCCCTCACACTGCAGAAAGTCGTGCGTCTCTCACCACTAAACTCACTTGCCATTTGTTCCAGCCTATAACTTAACCAGAACGTGAGCACCCATTTGCATTGTAATTGACGTTTGGAATGCAAAACTCCTTTTCTTTGCATCCATTTAAACTCCAAATAAGGTTTTCCAAACTTTTTTCATCTTAACAGCCATTTTCCCGGAACCCAATCTTGTTTAAAGAGGTGTGCTCCATACCAGAGGCATATCATAGATATATATGCATACAGTTTGAACTTTTTTTTTCTTAGGAAATCCATCCTTCCCTCTGCCAGATGGCTTCTTAATTCCCCTTGGGAGTGAAACGCTAATTTAGAGTGCCACATCTCTGTACCGACTACACCGATCGTCACCTTATTCCAAACCTTCACACCGCGATGCCACTACAAGCATCAACACAAGAATTTTGGGAAGGGTTTCTTTGAAAGATTTTTTTTCCCATGGTGTTTTGGTAAAATTCATATTCAATATACAGTCTTAACATATTGTATAAGAATGAAAAGACATTTAAAAAGATGTTGTCCAACATATAAAATAGTGTGGATGCATGTCATTTTTTTTCCCATGGTGTTTTGGTAAAATTCATATCCAGTCTTAACATATTGTATTAGAATGAAAAGACTTTTAAAAATATGTTTTCGAACATATAAAATATTGTGGATGCACGTGTTAAACTAACCAAGGTATAAAAAGACAAATTTAAATCAAAAAGAAATGACATCGACATTGCAGAAACTTCACAGTTCTTTAAAATAACTTTCAAGACATATAAGCGAGGTCAGACAAAGTTCATGGACATGAAAGACTTCTTTTATGTTGTTCTGTCACGTTTGTGACATCAACGATGGTGAACGTTTTGATGCCCGTATTATTATGGATGGTCAAGATGTACCCTTCCGCGTTAGTGACATTCATGGCCGACTCTTTTGCCTTTGTGGCAACAAAAAAAAAAAAAATTGTGTTGTTTGTTTTATGACTTTCCCCGACTTCTATAGAAGTCTTCAAGAGTGCAGCGACAAATCGCGCTTCCTCTTTTAAATTGCCAGTGAAGTTGAAGCCCCCCAATATTCGTATTTTTCCGGCATAGCATCGAAATCAGAATTTTGATCTTGTGACCATTTTGGCCGGTCTCGGGGTTTGCCTGTTGTGGTTGACTATCAGCTGTCACGCATGGCTGTAGCGGCTGTAGTCTAAATTCAATTCCTTCACGAAACGGAGCTTCGGCTCCCCCGCATGAATAATTGATCGCATACATTTAGAGGAAACAGTCTATTTTTATTTTTACCTTGACGGACAAGTTTGCAGTGGGCCGCTATGATCTTGATGGTGTATCATTGGTGTCTTTCTTTAGCATGCGAAGAAAATGGAGCCGGAAGGTCTGTCTTTGGGCGGCACGGGAAAAAGCCACGACCTGTTGTGAGTCACTAAAACATGACCAAATGAATTGCGAAAAAAAATACAGATACAGTTTGGGCACAGAAGTGCGTACTTATACTTGCAGCAGAAACCCAGTCTATGATCTTAACACCCCATAGCTTCGATCAATGACTGCGAGCTCATGACCTTCAGGTTCACGTCATCAGAAAGTGTTATTGACAAACTGTCTTACTGCGATTACTGACATCATTGGGCTGGTACAAGATTAGCATTGATCTTTCGATGCAAATGTAGAAATACATCTCGAGACTTCAGTTGATTTTAAGGACAGCGTTTTAAACGTGAGAACCATATGTCACAAATCCTTTTTTTTTTCTTTTTTCAGTCAATAAGCTCTGTGTAATTTCAGTGGAAATTCCCTTTCTTTCCCGCGCCCGGAGAGCTTTGGCGTGGCATATTTACTCTGCATGCTTCTCTGCACCTTGATAAAACTGCAGATACGCCAGAACCCGACGCACACGAAAATGTCCGTCTTCAGCATTTCCAACTGTGTTAACGGAGGGCAGTTTTTTGGTGTCGTCGTGGGGTGGGGGGGTCATCTTCCAGATGCAGATATGTTTATCCCTTGATTAAATTCGTTACCTTCCCTCGAGACATCATTAGCTTATCACATTCCTCTCTGCATTCATTTACGTCTGGACATTGCAAAGCACTTCAAAAGGTGCCAGCCAAATTAGCGTTACAAGAAGAGTAGAAACCCCTGCAAGAACTGCACGTATCTTTTGTTTTTTTTGTTTTTTCCTGAGCAGAATCGTGGCAGGATTTCACACTGCCCAAGGTATAATCAAGGCATTTGCTTGGAAGATTTCAGTGGCTTTAAAGGACAATATGATGATTCTTTTTGGAGTTGGGTGGCACGCCGCGCCGGCGGCTTGCACATCCGCCTCGCAGTTCTGAGGTTGGGGATTTAAATCCGCGATCTGGCCTTCCCGTGCGCAGCTTTGCATGTTCTCCAAGCGCTTGCGTGGGTTTTCTCCGGACACTTTGGCTTCCTCCTACATCCTGAAAACATGAATACATTTAAGATTCGATTTTGCCTATAGGTGCGAATGTTTCCTTCCCTCGATATGTGCCTTGCAACTGGCCGGCGACCAATTCTGGATGTACCCCGCCTCTCACCTTAAGTCAGCTGAAATAAGTTCCAGCTCACCCGCAACCCTTTTGGCGGTACAGAAAATGAATGCAAGTTTAGACACCCGATCAATGAGTTCATTAATTTCTAAGGCGATGTAATTATGTTCACCCCCATCGATTAGCAATTTTCATGCATCTCATGTCACAGCTTGTATCCCCGGAAGACAAGCGCTGCATTTTACTCATGGAAAATGCTCAGAGCTTGTTTACTGCACCGGTGCTTAAGTTTATATATGCACACCGATGGATGTGACTTTGGGCTTTTCCCTTCAGGCGTCATCACAGCAAATCACCCGGATGATCGTTTTATGCTATATGCTTTTCCTGGTCCTCCCAAGTGGCTGCGTATTCAGACACTGGCCAGAAATCATAACTGCACCGTCTGCATCTACGGCGCACGTGTCACGAGACTCCCGCTGCACACTGCACACATGTGGGTAATCGTTCCAAATCGTAAAAACCGAGCAATTTGGTGCAATTTCTTACAAAACCTTCTTGTGAGGATACACACTGTATGCATACACAAAACTGTATTGATAGCACAGTGGTCATTTTACAGGGGGCCTCGTCTGAAGGCGGAATCTGGGTCATTGCGTCGTGAAGGCAGCCTGTGCGTTATAATGCAAGATAGTCCTGCCAGAGTTCTTGCCCTATGCTGAAGCCAGCCTGTAAAAACACTTGACAACAAGCAAGCCGCTGTAGTTCCGTCGAGGGAGGGGTGAGGAATGGGAAACACACAGGAGGAGTAGTTTGGAAGGAAAAGGCAATGGAGCTGAAATGGCTTAAAAGAGGACGGGAAGAGAGGATTGCGGATTACTGGCATTTTTGACACGAGGCGTCAAAGTCATCCAAAGATTTAATACCTCCGCTGGCTGCTTAGCAACATATGTACGGTAGTCATTGTCAGGCAGATACGTTGGCCATTTGGTGCCGAGTTTTACATTCCGGCAACCAAAATAAACGTCAAAGGATCTACCGACTGCAGCGGTTGAAGTCTCGCGCTTTGTGCTCCTCGCGTATGGCTAATCACTGCAATCAGTGAGAAATACCACATCAGGGAGACTGTGCTGCAGGTGCACGTCGCCATTTGTAAACAGAAAGGATTGTCATTTTCATTCCAAAAAGGGAAGCTCACGATCCGGATACCCAAGATGCAAATATCGAAACGCTCATTATAAAGCTGTGTTTTGACTACCTGGATGATAAAGTGTTCCATTTCCGATGCTAAAAAAAGATTTATCGGCCCATTCGGGGTTTGCGTGAAGACACTTTTAGAATAAATGGCGTAAAACAAAACAGGGCTTATTCATTTATTTTTATTTATTTTTTAACATTGTGTAACTCCTGGAAACAAAAAGTCCCGAAAGAGCTGTGTTGGGGAGGCTCAAATGCCATTTCAGAGCGGAAAGAGCAATTTTTCATTTTGCCTCTTTTTCATTCCGTTTCAGAAGATGCTTAATGGCTCCACATTTTTCAAACGTCTAATCACAGCGCTTACGTGGAACGTCGTCATGTTCTTATATTTAGCAGCTGAACCAAAAGAAGAAGAAGAAGAAAAAAAAAGATGCCGCACAAGACTGAAAAATGGGCGGTTGCTCCCTATTTGGGGAAAGTGCAGAGGATACGCCGTGTTGTTGAAGAGCCAGAAAAGCACCCGATGGACTGCAACTCACAACGGACAATCTAAAAGAGGAGGAGGCGATGCCAGGAAGAAACAGGTCTCTGGGTCACAGGAAAGATGGGCCCGATCCCACCTCCTCTCCCTGTAGCTTTTCTTTTGTTTGAAGTCACATCTGGGCTCAATTTCCTCTCCTGACTCGAGCAAAGAGGAAGTCTTCTGGGTGGGTGGAAGGGCGACCGCTGCCTTCCAGGCTTTACTGTACAAAAACTGTAATCCGTGAGTCATTTCACTCACAAGCTGAATAAACGCAGCATCCTGACTCGCGTTGATCAAACTGAATTCAGGATGGCGTTTAAGAAGGCTCAGATGTTTAGAAGTTCAAAATGAGGTTGCGACTGAAAAACAGTGTGATTTGTTTTATGCCGTGTGGGAGGAAAAAAAAAAAAGACGGGCGAGTTGTGTGTTGAGAAGCGATGACGGTTCGAGGGTTCGAATATTAGGGAAAATAGGTGCATGCTTAGGGTGCCGTGCCTTCGGGGCCCGTCACAAAAATCAGGAAAAAAAATACACATTGTGTCGACTGTAATTGCAACAGGCTTCAGCGGAGAGTGACATTTGTGATTACCCCACATACATGGGTAC